AAAGAGAGAAAATAAATCGATCTCCTGTTATCAGTTGAAAATGTTAAATATTTATTGATTGGATATTTGAAGACTTCTGATATTCCGAAACCTTTGTATGTACCTAATATGGAAGTGAACTATGCTAGGAATAAGTTGTTTGAAAATACTAATGTAAAGGGTCATTCAGATATCCAACTGAATAATGTTTTCTTGCAAGCTAAATTAGAGATCTCAGATTTTCACACAAAGTTTCCACTCAAGGATTACATCTATTTTTTGTACATTGACGTTTAATGTATTTCTACTCTGTTTAAAAAAAGAATTGCTCTCTTTCTCTCGTTTGAAGACTAAAGAACCCAACAATCAATCAGTCAAAAATTGAACTCAATGAGGTTTGCACTTTTCAATTCATTGTTCTACCCTAGGTTATATATAGGAGGTACTTGTAAAAAAATGTGACCAGTACTCATTCTGCTAAATAAAGTCACTTTTTCAAAAAGTCTTTCGTTGTTTACATATTTATAATTCGCGGGTGCATCAGTATAAAAAAACTGTATATCCGCTAGTTTCCGCTCAGGTACTGATTCCAACCGAATTCTTCTAGTGATGGTAGTTAAACAAGAGTATAAGGCAACACTGTCTTACATTCGCTATCAATTAGTCGCATGGCGTCAAGAGTCTGAAATGACGTCATTATGCTACTAGGGATATTCTGTCATAACAGCTCACATATCGTATCTTCATGCCGCTCACCATCCCTTCGTATGAGCGAACGGTCACGTCATTCATAACCGGTCGTAATGTCTTGTCCGATGGCGGCGATTTGCCGCCTCTGCTCCGGATATTGGACGTGTTAATGCCGGTGTCCGACAAGCCATAAACACAAGATGGCGCTACAGATACGGTCAGCGCCGCCTGTCTCGTCGATAGCCGACGAGCACTTTGCCAGTTCGCAAACTGCCCAGCGCCATGGCCATATCCACATCGGGGCCTTATTAAGGACGGTAGCAGGACGGTTCGCTATAGAGATGTTCCCGAAGTTTTATGGTGGAGGATGGACATAAGGACCGCGCCAGCTGCTCTATTGGATTGTTATACTGATCTTGGTAATTTGAGCACGGAATGTTCTGCCGATGGATAGCATAAATTAAAAGCCATGACCAAGTTTTTTTCCTCGAACACACTACTTCCGTTTAGGTAAAGGAAATAAGCGGCCGTTCGAATAAATAGATAGTAGTAAAACAAGTGTCATCCCCAAAATATCTCGGTGTATTAGGCAGCATTCCAAATAATAAATAGTTTTACAGATTGAACAAGCTAGGAAAACCTTAATTTCTATGGAACACCTGTTCACTAGCCTGGATCACGATCTACAACTCCGTATCCACCTGCGCTGCTACATGTTCCCTATTCTTTTATACCGCGCTGAAAACTGACTACTTTGTTAGACAAATAGATGTGTTCGAAATAGATCTTTGCCGAAGGATATCGTGGGTAGACAGAATCACGAATGAAGAGGTGCTTAGCTTAGTTTATTAGCACGTCTTTTATGGAACAGCTTAATTCTCTAAAATATCATCCTTGGAAACAAATAAATTGTTGATTAGTTACAAACTGTCAAAATTAGCTTTGTGAGCATTATAATAAAAACGTGTTTGAAAATGAATTTTTCTAAAGAAGAAATGGTGAATATGGTGTTCGTTTTGGGCGAAGCCCAAAGAAATACTCGTAGTTTCATAGCATCTCGCATTTATAAGCAACGGTACCCTAATATGCGACATCCACGGCCGGACACATTTTCCACACTATGAGAACGTTTTGAATCAAGTGGAGCAGTGGAATATAGTAAAAAATGTATAAATAATCCAAGTGTCACCAATGAGGCGAATCAGTTGTAGGTTCTATTAAAGTTGCAGGAAAATCCCCATTTAAGTGCACGGCAAATTGGAGCAGAAACTGATATATGCAGAACTAGATTATTCACAAGCATAGGTACCATCCATATCACCTATGCTTGCATCAAGACCTTCGTCCTCAGGATTTCGCAGCTCGAATGGAGTTTAGTAGAATAATGCTAAATAAAGTGATTGAATACACTACTTTCATGGATAAGGTTCTTTTTAGCGATGAGCTAACTTTTTACAGCAAAGGTATTGTTAACAGGCATAACATGCACTATTATGCGAAGGAAAACTCTGAGTGGATTAGGCAAATAGATTTCCAAAATAAATGGAGCTTGAATGTTCGGGGAGGAGTTATTGGCAGACAAGTTATCGGGCCTTTCTTTTTCGACAACACATTAACAGGTACAGCATACTTTTTTGATCGAGCATTTGCCTTTGCTTTTCGAGGATGTTAACCTGCAAACTCGGATGCATATGTACTTCCAACATGACGGCGCACCTGCGTATTATCATAATCGTGTGCGTATCTATTTGGACACCTGGTATAACAATCGTTGGATCGGTCGTGATGGGCCTATATCTTGGCCTCCTAGATCACCAGATATGACACCCGATGGACTTCTACCTATGGGGCTAAGTTAAGCAAGAGGTTTATAGATATCCACCATCTACCCCGAAAAGTATGAAGGAAAGGATTAAGGATGCTTTTCTGAACAGAAGGGAACACATGGTGACGGATGTATAAAAAAAATACAACGGTGATTTATCCAAAGACTATGGCTATTTATTCAACATGGTGGAGATATTTTTGAGCAGTTTTTGTATATTAGGTCTTGAGTAGTGATAGTTGCTTGTTTATGTTGCTGTTATAGTTGTTTTTCTCTATTAGGCTTAAAGCTGATTTATACTGTTCTGATTGTTTTTTGTTTTTACGTCAAATCTGTACTCTTAGTGAAGCCCACTGGTTGTCTTTTGTTTTCATGGATGATGTGATTGTTTTTCTTAATTTTGGTGTGTTCTTCTATTAAAAGTTAAGTAACTCAAAATCTAGTGATTTTATCTGAATCAAACCTTATACCAAAAAAAACCTTACGAAAAATTGGATCCAAACTTACACAAATATACAGGGTGATGCATTTGAAATTTTTGAGAAAAAGTACAATTCGCATTTTTGACTGTATGAGCAAAAATGAAAATTCGAAAAAGTAACAAATTGGATAAAAACTGAGGTGTGTAAGTTTTTTGATACAATATTCAGCACACCAAATTTCAAAATGGCGGATTGAGGGTTTGGCGAAGTGAACGGTTTTTCTGAACAAAACACCTTATACCTCACTAGGCAATTGCCAAAACCCCATAGTATGTTATATCAATCTTCTTCTTTTGAATAGGTTTATCCAAATATGAAATAAAATTTGGGGAATTCCGTTTAAAAAATCACAACTTTGATATGTAGGTCAAAATTGGGACACCCTGTATAATTTAAAATATTTTAGAAATGAGCCCTGAAATTTCATGTATAACATGCCATAAATAGTTTTTCCCAAAATGTATGTGTTTATGAGTAATATTCCGTCCTCACATAGATGGGCCACCCTTTATATAGATGGTATTAAATAAAAGTAGAATACTTTTTCGAGAGTTTATTAGCCGTTAAACTGGCTTTGAATCGAAGCCATGGAACCGAATACCCAAAAAGAGCCAGCTCTAGTCCAGCGCTGCAGCGCTTTTAGGTATACTGCAGAGCTGTAGCCGTGACGTAACTCTGACAATTTGCAACATTTAATCAACAAACTGTCAGATCTGATAGCCAAGTGAAATGAAACTACTATCAAACTGATTAAGCTACTATTCAGTATAACGTGAAAGCGCTCATTATTTTTGGGGTTATACATACATTCGAGAAATGTTTAACTTATTCTGGGATACCCTGTACAATCCCTCTTGAAGATCTATCTTAATATTCGATAAACATAACTATTTCCTCTCGAACCCCTAACTGTAATTTACGAATAACATATGCACATCTGTCTCTTGGATTGGAACCGCATAGATATACAATGAAATAACATGCTGGGTCATCCAGAAAGTGTTAGGTGCCGTAAATATGGGCTATGACGCCCTCCTTCCCAGTCATCATAGTTCATAGGTATCTTTAAAAACTTGAAATGATAGAGAATTATGCGCAACGCAGCGAACGCACTTTACCTGAGATCTGCTCAATGACTGACTAGTCTGACAGAAAGGACGAGCGGCTGTCGAGTGGCGAGGTAAGTCATAGCAACTTTATCAAACGGTCCGTACTGCCGGTACGACAGAAGAGAAATTGCTAGATTGAAGCAGTGTCAAATGAGAGGGGAGTATGAACTAATTGTATGAGTCTGTTTGACTGACTTCATCCATTTAATTTTTTCTTATACGTTCGCAGCTATCTTTTTTCTAAATTTTATTTTTTTTGTGTTCCAGGTGCATCCGAGAGATCTGAGATCTGAGACACCCTGTATAATCACCCTTAACGATCTACCTTGGCATTCCAAAAACATTACTATTTCCTCTCGAATCCCTAACTGTAATTTACGGATAATATAGGCACATCAGCCTATTGGCTTGGAAT